AACTGGGTCCAGCGGTCCAGCGGTCCAGCGGTCCAGCGGTCCGAGCCCCGGACCCCGAGGCTTGCTGGGCAGCAGCAGCTCCAGCCGCCGCTGAGCGGAGCGGCGCCTGCGCGGAGAAAAAGCCGGCGCAGCGGCGCGGAAGCTGCGGCCGCGGGGGGGGCCTCACTGCGAGAGCCGTTTTTTTGGCGAGCGCGCCGGGTCTGTGGAAAGGGGATCGAAAGCTTCTGGATGTCCGGATGTCTGACATGTCCAGCCGGGTCTGTGTCCAAAGAGGGAACCACATTTTGCTTGGGATTTGAAGGAACACTGGAAGAAGACACGGGATTGCCCTATATCCGTAAAACATCCATGTAAGAACCTGACAGCCATGGGTGGCCTTTCTTTCGGTACACGCCCCTTTGAAGGTTTGCACAAAAACAAAGACACCGACGTGTGGCGAAGCATCCCAAGGTGTGCCCCTGGTGTGCCCCTGCATTTTCTTGGTGTGTCCTTGGTCCGGCAGATGGATGGTATGGCTTTCTTCCATGGCCAGCGGGCTTAGGGTCAGAGGAGATGAAAACCCCACTTTGTGCCCGAGAATGCAACCCAAGTGAAGCAGCCGTCATTGGCCTTGGGCCATTTTTCCATGGCAGGAGTGGGCAATTCCCACAACTCAGGATCCTTTGACCAGTTTCCATTTGGCATTTGGCCCAACTCCAATCTTTCAACAATCGAGGTCGTCTCCATCTTTGACCTTGAACAATCTGCAGCACTTTCAGTATGTACAAAAGGTCGGTTCGGATGCTTTGGGTTTCGACAACAGCTTTCAGTTATGCTGTCCTTGTGAAAAATGTCCGCCTTCTTTGCAGCTGAAGCTTTCACGGAGGCTCTTTCCAGTTGGAAGGTGAGAAAATCCAAGTGCTTGCGACATAAATCCAAAAATATTTGAGACAAAGAAATATGCATTTGGGCGGGCATTTTGTTGGGTAATGCTGTTGTTGCTATAAGCAAGGGAAACCAAAGGGGGAACCAACCCTCGTTGTGAGGGGCTGCCCCTTTGCTCCAAGGCAGTTTCCTTTGCTCCAAGGCAGTTTCAGAGGCCCATCTCCGGCCAGTTTCCTGGACTGGTACCGCAACCTTTGGATTTACCCGGAGCATTCAAATCAGCCGGCCCCTCTTTTCGCATCGGGGATGTCTTTGCTTGCGGTCCTCCGGTTTTTTTTGGACTTCGAGAGGTGTTGCCTCCCAAGTTGCCCGGGCATGGAACTTGGCGTTATGCTAGGGATGTTTGGCGGTCTCTAGGTCACCCTCCAAGTTCCCCTGAGGACAACTGCATGGCTTGAATTTATGTTGGTTGTGTGCGGGGCTTCACGTGGGGCTTCCCTTCAAAAGGCCAGCTGGATGTTTTTGTTTCTTCAGGGTGCGCCCCGCCTCGCAGCTGGTTTCAAGGCAAATCAACAGGAACGTCAGAAGTTGGGGGGTCCAAAATCCGTGTTTTGACGCCATATGGGCCGTCTTTGTTGAGGGTGCCCACCATGTTTTTGGGAAGCCAAAAGGAAACCGTGAGGCGCTGCCTCGCTAGTTTCACCGGACGCGCTTGAGAAGGCGGATGTGTGGTTTTGATCGGCGGGGTGGAGGGGAGGGGGGCGGGCTTCAGGGAACTCAACCCCCCTTCTGGTTAATGTTGACCCCGGATGAATAAACCCCTGTTTATTAATATGGGGGTGTTCCCCTCCAAAAGTGATAAATCCCCACTAGAACCGGGGACACCCCCATATTAATAAACAGGGGTTTATTAGTCCGGGGTCAACATTGCAAACCCGAAGGCTGCCAAGATAAGGTTTCCGCAGCCACACCCTGGGCCCAGGTTTTAACCCTTCCCAGATAGAGGCAGGCCGACCCGTTTGACTGCTATCGGAAGCCATGGCCATGTTTACGGTGGCTTCCCAAATTGGAGCCGCAACAAAAGCAAATCAGCGGCGCCTGCCGCCGCCCAAGGTATGGGTTAAGGCTACAGTTGGCTTAGCAGGAAGCCGCTTGAAACCAGCCCCCTGCAAGTCTAAGACGCAGCAGACGGCGCTTTCCAACGATTCATTTGTTTCCTGGAGTGGGCATTGGGCATTAGCTAGACATCAATTATTGGCCGCCTGAAGCTTGACTAATTTTGACTGAGGGTTTCTAAGGATGAAAACAGATCCAGCCATGATGCACTGTGAATTTGATTCTCAGGTTGCGTTTTGTGGTACTATACCACGCTGTGGATTGTGGATAGATTTGTTTGGGAGGAAGCTTCGGCACAATCAACGATTCTAATGTTGCTGTGTTGCTTGGTGCAGCGCCACTGTTCAGCACATGCCGCTTTTGCATGTTCTCCCAACGCCCCCGGTAGTACAGCCAGCGCGGTTCTAGGTGGCTAGAATTGCCCAACTGTGCTGATTTTGGTTGAAACCGGTTGTTGTGTGGCTTTTGCCTCGTTTTGCGCTGCGTTTTGGCTTCGGGTTTTTCATTGAACCGAACTTGTGACCTTCACCCACTCGGGCTCAGGCCAAGGGCGAGTATGGGCTCGTCTTCGGCTTCGGCTCCGATCCCAAGGCGGAGCGCTGAGGGTCGTCCCAAGCTGCCCACAAGTAGGGCCCTGGAATCCGGGCATGTCAGACCAGATGGACTCCCGAAGCATCCGGAAATCCGGAAATGCGAGCCTCCCCCAAAAGATGCGGCGAGCTCCAGGGGAAACCTTCCTTGGCCTCCTTGGCGATATTTCAGGCATCCGAATAAGAAGATTCCAAGAGCGGCCTTTCTCCGCGGAGGAAGCTTTTTGGAGGAATGCTCGATCCTGCACACGGGCTTTGCAGCAGATCTCTGCAGACAAGAGGGGATGAGAAGAGCAATGAGCCAAGCTTACAGTCACGCGCTGAAACACGCGTTGCGGGTCGGAAGGAGCCAGAATTGGTTTGTCTCAAAATGGAGGATTTCCCAAAATGGCTCTTTCTTTTCATTGCTTTGAAACAACCACCAAAAGGGTACCCTGACAAAAAGACATGCCCAAATGATCACGGAGCGGAAAGCGCCTTTACTTTAGGCTGTGGTTTGCCATAGGTTTGGAGATGAAAGATCGTTTGTTTGTGTCCAAAGCCATGGGGAGTTGGAAGAACTGATATCCACAAAGAAGTATTGCAAATCACGCCGTCTTGCCACAAACATGCGCGGGCGACAGGGGGGCTGAATGAAGCCTTGCGCAATGCAACAGTATCAACGAAGCAAAATGAGGGGCTGCAACCCTTATGTCGAATGATTGCGCACTTTTGCGCGGAGGTCACGTCTTCACCCTCGCCGAACATTTTGTGTTTTCAGTCAAAGGAACAAACACATGTCATGTAAAACAGATCCTCGCTCGCTCCTTTCCAGCAAAGCATGACCGATCCTACCTAAAGACGCGAGTGTCTCTCAGGTCGTGTGTATTCCCAAAACCAGCCAACTAGCTACCTCAAGCTTCGCCTCTTGGGGTTCATGGCTTTTGTATCAACCGAACTGCACAATTGGACCTAGGGGAAGTGGAGCACCGAATTGTTTTGTCGCGAAATCGGATGCTTGAGGTGGAAAATTGGAGCCCGTGGGCTCCCCTTGGATCTTGCCAACAGGGCCTCAATCAAGACTCGCTGGTTGCGAGCCTCCTGAAATCACTAAGTTGGAGCCTGTGTCGGGGAAACAAGGAACCCCAGCTCAGCACGTGCGCAGTATTTGAGCCTGGACTCCGCCTTTCTGCAGAACTGCCTCGCGAGGCTCAGGCGCCGTAGTGAGCATGTGGGGCTTGCATTGGGAAGCGGGAAGGAAACAGGAAAACCTCCCAGCCGGGAGGGGGAGGGGGGCAAGGAGGTTCCTGTGGTTTCTTAGCTTGTTAGCTAGCTTGGGAGAATCCTCCCTTCTCCTTTTTCTGATGTATATCTTGAAGGATCAGTGCGGCGGTAGGGCGTTTCTTTTTCAGACCAGGTCTGACTCGCTCAGCGCGGTGAAAGGGAGCGCGCTCGAAAAGGGAATGCGAGCCCGGGGTTTGAGCGGGGTGGGTGGGTGGATTTGAACTGCGGCTTGTGACCAAAGATTGCAAGTCAACTCATTCCACACTTGCGGACTCCATTTCAACTGAGCGCCCCCCCCCCCCCCAATTTCTCATTCATTTGAGGTGGCTCTACAGCCCGGTCTTGGAAAAAGAGCGAGCCAGGCCCAACAAGACCTTTGTGACCATTTTCCTGCGCCCTGAAACGCGTTTTGGGCACTTCGCTGTTCCTCAGCGGGGGCCACTGCCCGCCGCAATCCCCCTTCGAAGGCCTGGAGGCCATGTCTTGGCGAGGGTGCGGCTGGCTGAGCAGGAGGCGGGATGGAGGAAGACCCATGGGAAGCCTCTCGCGTTCCCGAGGTTGGCGCCAAGATGGGTCCTGCGTCTGTTTTGGAGTTGGCGCCGCTGTTTCCTTCTTCTTTCTTAGGTGGGTTGTAAGGGGAAACCGCAAAAGGAACGCCGAAATCCATTTTGTGGGGGTCCCCTTGTAAAAGGCCACGCCCAAAGCCATGTATAGCATGGACATCGGAATCCGAGCCATAAGGTTTGGGAAGCAAAGGTGTCGAATGGGCTGACCTCTGTTTGGGGGTGGCTGTTAAGCCATGCAGATGGCCATTTCTGCACAGGACTCGGCTGGGTGGTCTGTGGGAATTTTGCATGCAAGAACCTAAGGCCGCGGAGAAGCCATTCGCAACGGCCTATTTATATAACATATATCAGTTTGTGCGTGTGGTGCATTCGGCTTGGAGGTCGACTTGCTTGACAAATGGCATGCGATCGTATTCCATGGCGAGTCGTCCTTCTTGCCATGCCGGCTCAGCTGAATCTGCCATGAGCAAGCCGCACATGTGCAAGCAGGATTGCTACTAGGGGCCAGCGCCGGTCATGCTGCATTCCATTGGGTGCAGCACACACACACACACGTCAACCGCCAGGTGGTATGCGACTGGCATGTGCCATGCGACATGTTTCCCTTTGAAACCCAAAAACCCGCGGAGCTTCGGCGCGGGTCGATACGAACATCGCCTCAATGGCCATGGCGCCGTCGATGGAGGCCTGCGGACGCAGACTTCGCCCGACTGGCCGTGGAAGTCCTTGGTTTGCTCATGTCTTTGGTGTGCTTTTGGCGCGTTTGGCCGGCAAAAAAGCCATGGCTTAGTTCATTTGCACTTTTTGTGAAGAACATTTTTGTGGCAAACAACAAGTTGAGACTGCTTTTGACCAGTCCACTCAGGAAGTGAGGCTGACGGATATGGGTGTGTGTCAAAATACGGAACCGCAAAAGGGTGGTTTTCCTTTGGGTTTCCCTTTAACGCCACCCGACATGAGTACCCTCAAAAGCACATCCATATCCAGGGATAAATCAAGAGTGTTCCGAGGGCCTAATCACAAGCCACAAGTTTGAAACCTCCTTTGCGAGTTGTAATGCGTTTGCAGCATGTGGTTGCTGAAGGAAAATCAAAAGGAAACCACCCATTTGTGGGGTTCCGAATTTCGGACACTAAAACCATTAAACTTTTGTACACCTCTGCTGATGCATGACATGCCGTCGAAGTATGCTTTCAACCTCTTCGAATATCGACAGTCCAGCGGGCCCCCAAAAGATTTTCTGTTTGGAACGCCTCCTGAAAGCAGTGATTTGCGCACATCATTCTAGGGGTTGATTCCCCATTCTTTCCACCATCGTTCTTTCGAAAAACCAGCTGTTTCCACTGGGGTTCTGATGGTTTTCCGGAAAGAAGGATCCCTGGAAAGAATGGGGAAGTGTCTCCTGAGCATAGAAGGCTCCTCATGTCTCGCCCCGAATGTTCAGTGGGGATAAAGCATTGGGGAATGCCTGAGCATATGCGTCATCGTCAAAGCACCTGTTTCTTGGGTTAGAACGGTGGCGGTCACACACTCCAGAAAGGGACGAGAACAACCATCACCCTTGGTAGCCAGAACTTGCTCCACCAGAACGACAAGAAAAGAAGGCTTTGAGCGGAGGCAAACCAGCAACGTGTCAATAAATAGGGACACTTGTCCTGCGATCGGTCGAGAAGTCCGGTTCTCAAGATGTGCCTGGCGAATTGCTGTGAATGAGCCCTGCCTGAGCGCAAAGGAATTAAATGGGGGTCCCATGATGGAGTTTCCTTTCACATGGGAACACTTCTTACAGGGCTTGGGAATTTTCAATGGAAACTCAGCGTAAAATCCAGTTTCTTCTTGTTGGTGCAGCTCTAGCGTTCATTCCTTTGCACACATTCCCCGGGTTGTCTTTTATTTAACAGATCAATTCGAGTGGTCTGCAACCCCTTCAAAGCAACAGTCTTTCCATGGGGTTTCCCTTTAAGGGGTGTTTGCGTGTATTTTTCCGATTGCTTTTTGAAATCACCAGATAAACGCGAATCGCAGATCGCATGTCTTCACTCATCCAGGCATCCTTCAACAGGTGCACAAAATGTCGAGTTCTCTTTGGGTGATGTTCAAGGGTGGGACGATGGAGAGCGGGAAACGCCGTAGGAGTCCCTGGACGTGGTGAAGCAAGCGCTGCAAGAGTCCCTGATGAAGGCGAAAACGCCGTGGGCAGTGGGTTTGTCTCTGCGGAGGAACCCCCGCAACAAGTTTGGGGAGAGCGTTCCCCCCCTATGAGCCACAATCAAAACCCGGGTAGATGAAGGGTAGTAAGGGCCAATCCTAACCATAGATAGCTGCGGCCGCCTTCTTAATTCTTTACATGGTTCTTGGTAGACCATTTTAGTACCAGGTTTGATTCTGACTCCTATGAACAGTTTCCTTCTGATTTGCCCTTGAAACCAAGCAGTCCGTGAAGGCCTCGGCACGATTCTCATTCTCACTTTGGGGAACCCTAAGAATCCACCAGGTGACTTCATCCAGGGTCGACCCAAAATTACACCTGGAGGCCGAAGAGGCCATCGACCTCACAGACGGCGAAGCCCAGGAGGCGTGAGAGGGGATATCTCAGGTTCCGCTCTCCAGCCGGAAGGGCAAACACACACCCCAGGTAGCCGGATTGTTCTTTCCGTCCGAGGGCTCAAGAGGTTTTTGACGGGCCATAGGCAGGACCAGAGGCGAGGCTGAGTTTTCTTTGATCTCGCATGTGCACTGGTCTTGAAGGGCAATGTTTGTAGGGAGGGAGGTAAGGGGTCCACATCCTCTTGCTGGCAAATAGCTGTGGCTTGTGGTAGCCTTTAGCTCTGAACAAGGCGGCGGCTTCCCTTGTTGAACCTCACCCTAGGGGTGGCGGCGTGTACAGCTCTGGCCGTCGAACCTGGAGATTCGCAGTGCTTCTGGCAGTTTTTGGCAGGGGACATGTTCTGGCACGGCTGGTGCAGGCTTTGCGGCGCTCTGAGCAGGAGAAGGAGGCGCGAAGAGGGGGTGCAAAAGTGGGGTTGGGGGAGCGTTCGTCGGCTGTGGTATTTGCTGATCCTGAGACAGTTTTACGGAGAAGGGAATGCGCCCAGGCATGTCTAGGGAAGTTTCGCGCGAGCTCTCTACAGCACAGCTCATTTAGGCTGCAGACATGTGAGAAGCCAAAGTGCCGGGCTGCCTTTTGGTGGCACAGGTCTCCGTTTTGGTTGCGATGAAAGGATGTGCTTGACATAGACGAAGCAGATACAGTCCGATTTCGGGCTCATGCAAGAAGCGACTGTAAGAAACAGAGCATGCTACTTTGCATTTGAGGTAGCTGCGAGAGAAGGCCCAAGCTTGGCTGCATAGCTCGTGCAGCACACCAACTTAGAGGTGAAGGGCACACGTCATGCCGAAACACACGTTTGCGGTCTGCCAAACCGGTACAGTTTTTAAACGTCTCTCACCACCCAACAAGGCATCCGGTGCGAATGGGAGTATCAAGGTACGGATGCTTTGTGACTATTTCGTGCGTGTTTTTTCTTTTTCAGAGGCTTCATGTCCAAGGAACTGATGCGGGAGCCTTGAGGGCTGTGCAAACTGCAAGGAGCTGATGCAGGAGCTGCGGTATCTCCGTGCGGAGGCGCGGTCGGGCAGGAGGAGTTGCAGGGCTGACACCTGTTTCAACATGTGGGTTTGGCGCGTTTGTTGGTTTCTTTAGTTGGCATCCTTCTCAGGTTTCATTGAAAGGGAAACAAACAGGAAAACCCATTTGCCATTTTGGTGTTCCGATAATTTTTGCGCACATCCATTTTGAAGCACCGGAACTGTGGTTTAAACAAGCCGAACTTGTTCCGGGCAGTGTTTCACTTCTGCTCCGTGACTTCTGTACTTCCTTGAGAGTGGCTCTCACCCTTTTCATATTTTGAACCCCATGCGATCCACGCTCCCGCGAGCTTGTGCCGTGCCGTTGGCCGAGGTGAGCCGCTTGCAAGACTCCGGAGCCACCGAGGCGGGGGTTTTCGGCCAGTCAGAAGGAGTTGATGGGCCCCCATGGCGAGTTGGCGAGTTGGAAGGAGATTCCCTGATGGGGGGTATGGGTCAGGAGTGTCAAAGTGATCCACCAGCAATTGGACCACAGGTTTCCGTGTCTTCCATTTACCATCAAAAATGGCTTGCGCCATTTTGGGGTTCCCATTTCGATTTGTGACCACCACCAGGTCCCCTCACCAGCCGCGCCAAGCAAAAATCCGACCGCCCGCCCGGCGAGCGCGTTGGAGGCTTCCCTGGGCCGAGTGGACCAATTCGCCAGGGAGGACTCGTCATGCCGAGACAAAACATTTTAAGGAACACGGCAACGGCGAACACGCCCCTCTTTTTTGTTTTTTTCCCCGTGGCACCTGCTGTTTTTTGGGCCTTGCACCAGGCGTTCAGTTTTGTTTTTTGTTTTTTTGGGTATAGAGACAATGTGCATCCAAAGATTCCTCCCGCAGAGCGGCGTCATGGGGTTCTCAAGAGCTCCTCAAAAAATGCCCCCGAATCCGACAAGGGGCCAATTAATGGGGTCAATCGTGGGATCCTTTTGGGCGAACGATCTCCAGGTCCTGTATTTGGGGATTCTGTGTTTCTAACTTGTGGGTTATAGCAACTTCAGAGCCTCCCGGTTGATTCGGGGGAAGCTTCCAACCACGCCGAACAGAGCAGCTCGGCCTCCTAAAGCAGCTCGGCCTCCTTTCGCGCAGGCCACCTGTCACGGCGGGGCATGGCTCCCCTGGAGCTATTGGCAGCGTCCTGAGGCCCTTGAAGGGGTGGCATTTGGGGTCCTGAAGATTACTGTTGTGAGTGGGGACACCCTTTGAGCCATCGGTTTACAGTGGAATTTGGAGGATGTCTTAGCAACATGGGCCCAGTTCATTGATCCAGAAGCGAGGTCAAGCACACCCGACCAGTTCAGGGACCTCTAAAGTTGCATCTGTTTGCATTAGGTTCTCGAATCATACTTACCAGAATGCCAGAATCCGACGATACGTTGTCGGGAACAGGAGGCAAGGGCTGAGGTTGACAGTTGAGGGGTTCACAGTGGAGGTGTGTCTTGGTCAAGTGCGCCTCGGGATTGATTTGGGGCCATGGTGTGGAGTGGGAGCCGGCTCCCCTCCTTGCAGGTGTTTCCCCAATGGGTCCAGTCAAAAGTAAACAGTATACCATGCTGATTTGTGGTGGTGCGGGACATGGGCTACCCAGGGAGGGGGAATCGCTGCTTTACCCATGTCCGTGCAACTTCTGCTTGTTTTCCCCGCGGGCAATGCCACTTCAAGGATGTTTTCCCACTGAGGTGCGTCTCCTGCACACCTCCCTTGGAGGCACGAGGGGGTGAGGGATGGGGTGGAAGTTGTGACAAGACAAGTTGACGGAAAGACTCGCTTTCGTCATAGTCATTTATTTTTATTTAGTTGCTTTGTCCAACAGAAGTTCTGTTCGGCTCGAAGTTGCCGTTGGCAGGTTGCTGGCCTCCACACCTTTGTCATGGACCCAAACATGACATTATGTTGGAAGCGTGCCCTGGGAGCCCTCACGATCTAACACATCTTGTGCGACTGAAGTCCCTTGTTGTTTTCTTTACTTGCGGGTGGATGTAGGCACCAAGACTTCGAACCATTGTCATGCCTGAAGCGACTGTATAGAGGTTGCTTTGTAAGAGACGCACCTACTCCCCCCTCAATCATTTAGAGGGCTTGAAGGGTCCAATCAAACACTTCCCAGTCGATTGACCTCAACAACAACGGGGCACCAATTCTGCCATATTGACCATCCCCCGAGCGCAAGTAGGAAGCGCCGCAGGCTCAGCCAGTTTATCGACTCGAGGCAAGCTGTTTGGGCCCAGAAAGGAAAAGCAACGGCTGGCGTACCCAAACCAGGGATTCCCAAAGAACTGCGGAACAAGGACAACACACAAGGAAGCATCAAACAATTCCTAAGGGTTCCCAAACCAGAACAAGAGTAAGCAAGAGATCCCCTAGGCGGAGGTGCACGTGCTCAAAGCCAAGAGCCTCAGCCGCGGCTGAGGCTGGGTGACGGGTGACGGGTGGGAGGCCAGGGTTCGCTTTGTGCTGACCCGAAGGGCTCCAAGCTACGGAGGGAAGCGCGCTGAAGCCATCCCTGCGGCGACCCGGAAATGCCCGGTTTGGATTTGCATGAGTTTGGCCCGCACCTTTGGCCACACACAAGTCATGGAATGCATTCGTGTGCTGAGGAACGGCGTGGCAAGGGTCCTGTCAAAACGCCAGCATTTTGTGTTGTCTTTGTTGAAGCTTCTTGAGAGAAAAAAACACTCAAACCTTGAGCCGGGTCTGGCGTGGTAGGCGTTGCCCCTTTGAGCTTTGCTCATGGCTTAAGGTACGCTCATATACGCGAGCATTCCCGCATTCAAGTTGACGGCACTTGCCTCCCGAAGAAATTGAGTCACTGCAGGGTCTGTGCAAAATGATGTTCAGAGCAAGGGAGAGGTAGAAAGAGAAAGAGAAAGAGAGAGATAAAGAGACACACACACACACAGAGGGCCGAACAGTATGAAAGTGACAAACATGCAGGGCCCTCTCCCGCTTGCTCTCTCTCTATGAATTGCCCCTTTGTCGGTTGCACGGTGCAGGCTGCTGCAAATTGTCGCGTGGGCACTGTGTCAGAATAAATAAAGGGAGCCCCTCCCCCTGAAGAGGGAGCCTTCGAAGATTACGTATCCACATGGGTATGGGTCAACATTAAACCACTAGGGACCGCAGGTTTTAGGCCCTGGTTTCATCTACCAGGGTTCCGTTTTGGAGACCTGTTGTTGACCCACAGCCACATGCCTGTATCGGCCCTTCCTGCTCTCCGAGGTCGAGGTGGAGGAGGTCCTGAGCGAATTTGTTGCAAGTGCAATGTGTGCGAGGCCCCCTGCGATTCCGCCCCGCCCTCTTGGACGGCAGGATCGGCTCGGCAGGGGCGGCTCCGCTGAATTCTCCCCAAAGGGAGGGCGTGGCTCAGAATGGCGAATGCCAAGCTTTGGCTTGCTTCCAAGCAACGGACGCGGAAGGAAAGTGGCGGCTTGGGCCATTTTGAGACTCAGTGCATGCTGTGAGAGATTTGGCACGGATGCCTAAGCCTCGGAGAGAGCGCCGAAAAGCACGAAAAGTGGGCCATGGGGAGAGGCGTCCGTCTGCACAATGAGACCACCTGGGAGTGGTCCATGGGGATGGATTGTTTAGTCAATGACACTTTGTTGCCCTTCTGGTATCAGTCCAAGAAAGCTTGTCCGGGTCGGCGCTGCTTTCCAGGGTGATTCTGCGACTTGGCGTTAGCTTGTTCACTGCCCAACACTGGTACCTCTCAAATGACATCACATCTTGGGGTTCGCAAAAGCCAACGGCCAACTTGTGTCAGTTCAACCTTTGCTTTTAGCCACTGTGTGGCGAGCCAAACCACTACCCAGAAAAAGCAGGAGGTAGGTATAATTATAGCCTTTCTACAGTGGTCGTATCTTGGCTTTGTATCCCATGAAACTTCTGGGTAGCGGAAGCCATGGATCCGCAGGTGTCCAAGTTGGACACCGCCGGCCTCTTCGCCGGTGCGGTGGACAGCTGCACAGAGGCGCGCTTGCGCCAGCTCCGCGCCGAAGCCGGCGCCGCGAAGCGCCGGCACTCGGTTGTGGGCGCGTGGGACCCGTGCGGAGTTACATACATATATATATATAGAGATTAATATATCATTTTATTATTATGTTAGGGAATGTTGTCCAGGGGTTAGGCAAATGTTAATGGGGTGTCGTTCCTCCCACTTTTTGTTGGGTGCCTGGTCTGCCTTTTGGCGGTTTTGAAAGGGACAGGAATAAAGGACCCCTCGCATTCTTGAATGCGACCTGGTAGATTCTAGGGCGTTGCTTCCAGAAAAAGAACGTGTAGGATCGCCTCTGAACAGGGAGACGAACCAAGGGTTGATCAATCCTGCGTCAACATGACCACCCTTCTTCATTTTGGCATCAAAAGACCAGCAAAAAGGAGGAAGCATGTGGGGCGCCGCATTTTAGCACAGATCCCCTGTCTTGGGCATTTGGATGGCTGGCCGGGAAGGCGGCACACGCTGTTCGAGCCAGGGCAGGCGTGCCCGTCGCCGCTCCGCGAAACGAGGCTTCAGCCGTAGCAAGGGAGCAACCGGAGAGAGTGTGCCCAGAGCACAATATGCCAGGAGTCGGATGTTACGCTCCAGTCAAGAAGGAAAGGGCCGCAAAGCCTTTCCCCAGAAACGAGGCGGTTTTCGGTGATCGGATCTCCGCGATGTCCCAGTCACAAACCTTGGGGCTGTGGAAGCCCACCGAGCCCATGGATGAGCTGCTGGAGTTCCTGAAGGCCGTGCCGTGCCGTGAGGGCAGCAAAGGGGAACGGCTAAAATCTTATGGGCCTCATTTTCTTGGTTCCCTTGGAATCCAACCAACAAGGAGTTCCCTGAAAAGACACACATGCGCACACTCACAAAGACATATATATATATGTATGTATGTAATATATATATATATATATATATTTAATACATTGCTGTACATTTTGGGTCAGAAGGTAGACATATGATCTTGAGTGAGGTAGGCAAGGGATTGCACAAAAGGTGGGCCGGCTATGAGTTTAGATGTTTCAATGGGGGGAATACAAGAAGTCTTGTACCAATTCTCCACACAAAATCGCATCCCCACCGGTGCCACAGTCAGATCAAGTAACTCACCCAGTGGATCTCAGTAGAAACCTTCCATAGTAGGCAACCAATCATTTTCCATTTTGTTTTCCAAGAAACACTGCAGAACGGGAAGACAGGATTCACGGTTTTGGGTCTCACGTTTCGAGACGAGCGTGTCCAGTTTCTTTTGCTTCTTGCGCTTTTCGGGTTTTCGGGGGGAACTGCACGGATCCAAGTGGCTAGCTTATGGCACCCCAGATTGATCAACCCGTTCAGCCGCTTTGCCTAAATAACTGCAAACAAATTCCAGCTTCTCAATCAACACCTATAATCCTCCATGAGCGAAAGTTGGATCTGCAAACAAATTCCAACAACGCATATCCTCCAGGTTTTATGGGCGTGTGTTTTGTTCGAGGGCGCCCGTGTTTTGATTTGTTTGCAAGGCAGCCACTGCTTGCAGGTCCAGATCCCTATTTGGCAGTGGGTCAGAAATGGGACACTAAAATGGAAGCCTGGCAAATGGAACCATGGACTAAACCCGGACGAACCTCTGTGGTCTGGTTGAATTTTGATCTATATCTTTGGTTTTAGAGACCTCCACCAGGCAGCCACCGCTTTCGGGGGGTGCAGATCCCTCCCGCATCCGTGGGATCGACGCGTTTGCGAGGAGCTGCCCTGCCAGCTCTGCGAGGAGCAGCCGGTGGAGCGGCGCCTGCTGATGGAGGCGGGTGCCACAGGTCTGTCGAGGGAGGTGGGAGGCGCAGACCCCCGAAAATTGGCAGAGAGCGTGAGCCTTCAGTGGAAAAAAACAACAAAACCGCAAGAACCTAGGCTGTGGGATTTCTTGCTTCTATGGCTCAACCTTTTGGATGCTTCTGGAGTAGCGGTCACCTTGGGTTAATCAACCTGGCAGAGAAGCAGAGAGCTGTGCCCAACAAAGTGGAGGATTAGCTTTGAAACGGCCATTAATCAATCAAGAGTTTGTTCATCCTGGAGAATCGGGGGCCCAGTTAACTTAGCATGGGTTCCGTCACTTGCACTTTCATCAAGATATACTGCGATGTTGGAGACAGTGCATGGAAGGATCCCATTCCCCTCTTCCTCAAGCTGAGAACCCTCCCCCCTCCCCCCCCCGAGCGCAGCTGCCCAAGGCCCACTTGGGACACGCATTCCGTAGGGGCAGGAAGCGCTTGGGGTAGGGTGTTTTTAGCGCCTGTTTCGGTGCTTCGGTGGTCCGGAGTGCTTTCCGGGATGGTTTGGGTGTTTTGGGGGTCCCCGGAAGCTGGTTGCAGGCAGGTTTCATGGAGAGAACAAAACGTCAGCTGCTCTATACGAGCCCACAGGATGGACGCAATTTTCGGACAAGTCGCTAGGCATAGATGTAGTCTTGAGGTTTATATAAAGGATCTCTAAAGGAGGTCTATTCTACTGGTAACTAGGGGGACTGGGCTCAATGTGGGTGTCTCCTTCAATGAGGGTCACCAAAACTAGCTAGTTCTATTGGTTTCCCTTTGGCACAATGGTCGGTTTCATTTTGGGTTTCCCTTTTGGTTGTTCGTTGGTTTCCCTTTGGCATACTTTTGGTTTCCCTTTGAGCACCCCTCCTTAAAAGGCTTTCGCCGGCTCCAAAGTCACATCCTCAAACTTACTTAATTACCCCAAACGCCGAGTTTTTGTTGGAGAACCCAACATGTCCACTTGGGAGCCCAGCTCTCTGTCGGCCATCCGCCTTTCGGAACAAACAAAAGAGGCGTCCCCTAGCTTTCGACTCATTGGCTCCAAGCCACCTATGTTCGACTCATTCCATCCAAGCCTCCCGTGTTTTGCCACCTCCCTTCTTCAGCTCCCAGCCCGGTCCTGACTTCCCAGCTGGGCCTGGCGCGGTCCACCGCGGCGCTGCGCGCGGACTCCGACCCGGAGTCCCTGGAGGTGTGAGTCGAGCTTTGGGGGGGGGGGGGGGCAGAGGGCTTTGTGGGCGATTTGGGTGTGGGTCAAAATCAAACCACCGGAAAAAGGCCTGTTTTAGTCATGGGTTCCATGTACCAGGGCAACCCGTTTTGGGTACCCATTTTTGACCCACAGCCATTTGGAAACGGATCTTTGGACTTTAGCCTGTGGGTTGAAATTGTGGGAGACCAGTGGGAGACCCACAAAAGATAGTGGGATAACCACACAAGTTGAGGACTTTTCTTGTAGAGGGGTCAACGGCAACCAAGCTGGGGGGTTTGAGGCGTGTTTTTGAGGCTTGTGTGTTTTGTGGCTGTTTTCCGTTTAAAGCCAAACCAATCGGAAACCCACCCTTTGGAGGGTTCCTTCAAAAGAGATCGGATAGGCAAGGAGCTTCGGAAACGAAGCTTTCTGCAGGTGTTTGTTGAAATGGCAGTCTAGAAAAGGATATGGCGAGCTTCGCTTCGTTTCTTTGAAGACCTGCGGTCCAATGTTCTGGAAGGGTTAGCGGGTTACTGTCGGGGATGCCTGGGCTTATTCCATTTGGTCAATTAGAATCCACAGGAGAAACCAAGCACCATTGCGACAGATCAAATGCCCCTCAGTTCCCATTGGGGAAAACCCGCATGTAAGCCGGCGTCCGCCGAGTCTTTCTCCTCGGTCCCTGGGCTTGGCGTTGCCAGGACCTGCGTCTGGCGGAGAAGGCGCAGGAGGAGTTGGTGCGGCACCGGAGGCACACGCCCTTCTTCAAGGCCCGGAGAAAGGGAGGGGAGGAGGGTGGGGGGGGGGCTTCCTGGGGTCAGCTTTTGTAGGGAGAAAACCTGTCTGAAATCAAGCAAGTAAAGGGTACCCTTCTGTTCCGGTGAAAAAATGCGGGCTTGATTCCAACCATTCTTTTCAGCCATCGTTCTTTTCGAAAACCAGCTGTTTCCCCTTGGATTCTACGAGTTTTCTGAAAGAATGGGGAGGTGAGGGTGGGTTGGGCTTTCCTTAGTTCAGCTTTTTTGGAGGGGAGAACACCTCTGAAATCAACCAGCAAAGGGTGCCCTTATGTTCCAGTGGAGAATGCGGATTCTGCTGGTTTTTTGAAAAGAAGGATCCCTGTAAAGAATGGGGAGGTGTCCCCCAGATGCGTGGGTGGGGGCGCGGGCTTGATTCCAACCATTCTTTTCAGCCATCGTTCTTTTCGAAAACCAGCTGTTTCCCCTTGGATTCTACGAGTTTTCTGAAAGAATGGGGAGGTGAGGGTGGGTTGGGCTTTCCTTAGTTCAGCTTTTTTGGAGGGGAGAACACCTCTGAAATCAACCAGCAAAGGGTGCCCTTATGTTCCAGTGGAGAATGCGGATTCTGCTGGTTTTTTGAAAAGAAGGATCCCTGTAAAGAATGGGGAGGTGTCCCCCAGATGCGTGGGTGGGGGCGCGGGCTTGATTCCAACCATTCTTTTCAGCCATCGTTCTTTTCGAAAACCAGCTGTTTCCCCTTGGATTCTACGAGTTTTCTGAAAGAATGGGGAGGTGAGGGTGGGTTGGGCTTTCCTTAGTTCAGCTTTTTTGGAGGGGAGAACACCTCTGAAATCAACCAGCAAAGGGTGCCCTTATGTTCCAGTGGAGAATGCGGATTCTGCTGGTTTTTTGAAAAGAAGGATCCCTGTAAAGAATGGGGAGGTGTCCCCCAGATGCGTGGGTGGGGGCGCGGGCTTGATTCCAACCATTCTTTTCAGCCATCGTTCTTTTCGAAAACCAGCTGTTTCCCCTTGGATTCTACGAGTTTTCTGAAAGAATGGGGAGGTGAGGGTGGGTTGGGCTTTCCTTAGTTCAGCTTTTTTGGAGGGGAGAACACCTCTGAAATCAACCAGCAAAGGGTGCCCTTATGTTCCAGTGGAGAATGCGGATTCTGCTGGTTTTTTGAAAAGAAGGATCCCTGTAAAGAATGGGGAGGTGTCCCCCAGATGCGTGGGTGGGGGCGCGGGCTTGATTCCAACCATTCTTTTCAGCCATCGTTCTTTTCGAAAACCAGCTGTTTCCCCTTGGATTCTACGAGTTTTCTGAAAGAATGGGGAGGTGAGGGTGGGTTGGGCTTTCCTTAGTTCAGCTTTTTTGGAGGGGAGAACACCTCTGAAATCAACCAGCAAAGGGTGCCCTTATTTCTAAGAAAATGCGGTTCTGCTGGTTTTTTGAAAGAAGGATCCCTGTAAAGAATGGGAGTGTCCCCCAGATGCGTGGGTGGGGGCGCGGGCTTGATTCCAACCATTCTTTTCAGCCATCGTTCTTTCGAAAACCAGCTGTTTCCCCTTGGATTCTACGAGTTTTCTGAAAGAATGGGGAGGTGAGGGTGGGTTGGGCTTTCCTTAGTTCAGCTTTTTTGGAGGGGAGAACACCTCTGAAATCAACCAGCAAAGGGTGCCCTTATGTTCCAGTGGAGAATGCGGATTCTGAGACGGATTCTGAGACGGATTCTGGGTTTTTTGAAAAGAAGGATCCCTGTAAAGAATGGGGAGGTGTCCCCCAGATGCGGGGTGGGGCGCGGGCTTGATTCCAACCATTCTTTTCAGCCATCGTTCTTTTCGAAAACCAGCTGTTTCCCCTTGGATTCTACGAGTTTTCTGAAAGAATGGGGAGGTGAGGGTGGTTGGCTTTCCTTAGTTCAGCTTTTTGGAGGGGAGAACACCTCTGAAATCAACCAGCAAGGGTGCCCTTATTTTCCAGTGGAGAATGCGGATTCTGCTGGTTTTTGAAAAGAAGGATCCCTGTAAAAGAATGGGGAGGTGTCCCCCAGATGCGTGGGTGGGGGCGCGGGCTTGATTCCAACCATTCTTTTCAGCCATCGTTCTTTTCGAAAACCAGCTGTTTCCCCTTGGATTCTACGAGTTTTCTGAAAGAATGGGGAGGTGAGGGTGGGTTGGGCTTTCCTTAGTTCAGCTTTTTTGGAGGGGAGAACACCTCTGAAATCAACCAGCAAAGGGTGCCCTGGCGGATTGCTGGTTTTTTGAAAAGAAGGATTCCAGAGATTCCAACCATTCTTCAGCCATCGTTCTTTTCAAAACCAGCTGTTTCCCCTTGGATTCTACGAGTTTTCTGAAAGAATGGGGAGGTGAGGGTGGGTTGGGCTTTCCTTAGTTCAGCTTTTTGGAGGGGAGAACACCTCTGAAATCAACCAGCAAAGGGTGCCCTTATTTTCAGTGTGGGTTGCCCAGAAGAATGGGGAGGTGTCCCCCAGATGCGTGGGTGGGGCGCGGGTTTGATTCCAACCATTCTTTTCAGCCATCGTTCTTTCGAAAACCAGCTGTTTCCCCTTGATTCTACGAGTTTTCTGAAAGAATGGGGAGGTGAGGGTGGGTTGGGCTTTCCTTAGTTCAGCTTTTGGAGGGGAGAACACCTCTGAAATCAACCAGCAAAGGGTGCCCTTATGTTCCAGTGGAGAATGCGGATTCTGCTGGTTTTTTGAAAAGAAGGATCCCTGTAAAGAATGGGGAGGTGTCCCCCAGATGCGTGGGTGGGGGCGCGGGCTTGATTCCAACCATTCTTTTCAGCCATCGTTCTTTTCGAAAACCAGCTGTTTCCCCTTGGATTCTACGAGTTTTCTGAAAGAATGGGGAGGTGAGGGTGGGTTGGGCTTTCCTTAGTTCAGCTTTTTTGGAGGGGAGAACACCTCTGAAATCAACCAGCAAAGGGTGCCCTTATGTTCCAGTGGAGAATGCGGATTCTGCTGGTTTTTTGAAAAGAAGGATCCCTGTAAAGAATGGGGAGGTGTCCCCCAGATGCGTGGGTGGGGGCGCGGGCTTGATTCCAACCATTCTTTTCAGCCATCGTTCTTTTCGAAAACCAGCTGTTTCCCCTTGGATTCTACGAGTTTTCTGAAAGAATGGGGAGGTGAGGGTGGGTTGGGCTTTCCTTAGTTCAGCTTTTTTGGAGGGGAGAACACCTCTGAAATCAACCAGCAAAGGGTGCCCTTATGTTCCAGTGGAGAATGCGGATTCTGCTGGTTTTTTGAAAAGAAGGATCCCTGTAAAGAATGGGGAGGTGTCCCCCAGATGCGTGGGTGGGGGCGCGGGCTTGATTCCAACCATTCTTTTCAGCCATCGTTCTTTTCGAAAACCAGCTGTTTCCCCTTGGATTCTACGAGTTTTCTGAAAGAATGGGGAGGTGAGGGTGGGTTGGGCTTTCCTTAGTTCAGCTTTTTGGAGGGGAGAACACCTCTGAAATCAACCAGCAAAGGGTGCCCTTATGTTCCAGTGGAGAATGCGGATTCTGCTGGTTTTTTGAAAAGAAGGATCCCTGTAAAGAATGGGGAGGTGTCCCCCAGATGCGTGGGTGGGGGCGCGGGCTTGATTCCAACCATTCTTTTCAGCCATCGTTCTTTTCGAAAACCAGCTGTTTCCCCTTGGATTCTACGAGTTTTCTGAAAGAATGGGGAGGTGAGGGTGGGTTGGGCTTTCCTTAGTTCAGCTTTTTTGGAGGGGAGAACACCTCTGAAATCAACCAGCAAAGGGTGCCCTTATGTTCCAGTGGAGAATGCGGATTCTGCTGGTTTTTTGAAAAGAAGGATCCCTGGAAAGAATGGGGAGGTGTCCCCCAGATGCGTGGGTGGGGGCGCGGGCTTGATTCCCCATTCTTTTCAACCATCGTTCTTTTCGAAAACCAGCTGTTTCCCCTTGGGTTCTGCTGGTTTTCTGAAAAGAAGGATCCCTGGAAAGAATGGGGAGGTGTCCCCCAGAAGGGTGGGTGTGGGCTTCCTTGGTTCAGCTTTTGTTGGAGGGGGAAAACACCTCTGAAATCAACCAAGCCAAGGGTTCCCGTCTGTTCCAGTGGAGAATGCGGATCTCTGCCCTTGCTGAAGCCAACGACTCAAAACCTGCTTTGAAGGACCTCTTCATTTGAAAGGCCCCCGGTTGTGTTCACTCTCTCTTGGCCTTCTCTGCTTTCCATTCTTCTTTTTTCCTCTCCGGCATCCTGATGGTCGATGGACCAGCCAACAGGGAGCAAGCCAAGCAACGCGGAGACAGTGGCAAGCTGGTTTGGGAGCAATCGCGAGCTTGCTATTCAAACTTGAAGCGAAGATACAACAAAGCCGTTCGAACCAAAATAAAGCATGCACGTTCTAGTTGCCGCACATGTAGCCCTGACAGCTGGGGCTCAACACATCAAAACGGGTGTTTTGTTTTGGTCTTCTCCTTAAGCCAACCGCAAAAGGGTACGCTCAAGCAAATAGACACACCTATATATATATATACATATATATATACACATGTATCTATCTATAGATGTATGTATATATATATATATATAGATCCCCTGAAGCATCGCAGGTCGTGGCGCGCGACGCCTCCGGCGCCGCCTGGCTGGACTACCCTCCCTTAGACCAGACCCCGCGGAGTCCGGCAGGGTTGTCCCCTGTCCCCGTTACCTGGTGGTTTTAAAGGGAAGCCTACAGATTTTGGTACACATGGAGAAAAAAAAAACGCCAGAAAATTGGGGGTCCCCGATTTTAACACACCCATGTGTGTATGGCTTTTTGTTTCTGCCCTTTTCTGGGTGCCTGAAAGGGAAACAACAGGGAGGCAAGCCATTTGATCTTCCCCAGTTTGGAGGCGACCTTGTCAAACATCCGCAAAGTGATCCCTAAGCCATTTCCGGAACAGTGCGCTGTGTGCTTGGACTTATGATTGACTGTTTGCCCGCACATGTAAAGAGTTGCCCCCCCCCCAAAAAAATAAAAAATAAAAAAATCCAAAAAACAACAACCAAAAAACACCTGCAGGCGGCATCACACAAATCCTCGCAAGCCGCACGCGCTTCTCATGGATCGCCCATCGATACTCTCGCACTCCGATCGCCTGGCAGCGTTCCGAGGATGGCAGCAGCTTCTTGTCGGTCTTCGACGGCAAGACGCGGTACCACCTGGGCGTCTCGAGCTTCGACCCCAGAGGAGGCTCGGCGCTGATGCCGTTTGGAGCAGAAGGAAGCAGTGATGTCTGTTGTGGTTGGTTTAAAAGGGAAGCTCAAAGGGCCACCATCATTCTGGGGGTGAAACCTTATTCTGACTCCTGCTCACATGTCTCCAGGCTTGGGGCCCCAAGTGCGGAAAGGCATATATATATATATATATATATTTGGAGGTCATCTACGGATGGGTCAGCGTCAAGCTTACCGCGTTGGAAAAGATCTCACATACCTGGCAAGCCCAGAGCTTCAAAGTCGCCAGTGAGCGGAAAAAAACTTGGCGGAAACCGCATGGGTGCGTCATTTTTGGGAAGCGGGTACCCTTTTTGGGGTTGCAGTGAAGGGAATCTCCAAGGAACCTGCCAATCTTTCGCGATTTTAAAAGACAGACCTGGTCCACTGGTAGTACTGGTGCACGCATCGCAAGAGTTCATTGCAGAGGACGTTTCAAAGTTGCCAGACACAGCTGGAAAGGCACTCACATGCCCGAGCCACCTTGGCAATACCTTCCCAAGAACTATTAGCATGTGTTGCTAATCACAGAAGTCATCTCCCGTGAGTGACTGGTGGCTTGTTCAGGCCACGCCAGCCCGTCGACACTATCCCGCTCCGTCTCTCTGTCTCTCTCTAATGCACAAACACGCACTTACCACGCGAACTGAGTGAACGTGGCAACCTTTGTAAGCGATCGGAGCCTGTCGATTGGAGCCCGTTCAGCGGGTCTGCTGATTCCCATTGAGAGACTTTGCCAGCTGGCTCATTTCCGGGTAGTGGGGATGGGAATCCCTCTTGGGGAACCGCTCTTGGTTGGCTTTAAAGAGAACCCAAAAGGCAACTAACCATTTTCTGGGCTTCCAGATCCCATTTTTTGAGACAAGCCCCCACTTTTTGGCAGCACAGGTCTCCGTTTTGTTTTCCCCACGCCGCCTTCTTAGGGCGCCGGCCGCAGTCCGAAACGGATCGCAGGCTTCTTCGTGCACCCCAGCAAGGAGGCGGCCTCTCAGTCGGTGTCCGCCTTCCCGCGCCAGAGCGCGGCCTGGGGCGTGCGCCGGGCTGAGAGAGGGGTGGGGCAGTGGGCACGAGGGCACGGGCGGGGTGGCTCGGCGGGCCCGGTTTTTCTCCCCACAACACTGGAGAAAGCCAAAGGAGAAGCGGAGATCTATAAGTGAACTAAGGGAGGCGCCTTGTTTATTTAGATATGTACCCATGTACCTAATCTACTGAGGGAGGTGACCAAGTGACCCATCTGTTTGGCGCCCTATTTATTTGCATACCTGGCAGGCGGAAATTGGAGGAAACGGAGTGAAGGGATACGAGTCGAGCGCAACTCCCCTGAGGCGAAAAGAGGCACCCTACGCCAAGAGGCGTTTCCCACGTCAACCCCCAACTGTCAAGAGTACGGTGGATTTCGTGTTGTCCTTTTAGTTTCGACCAGTTGGCATGTCGGCAAGCCGCAGGTTGCTTCTCTCACAGGAGTCTGATGAAAGAATGTAACTGAAGGTATGCCAAAGAGGAAACGCCACTACGCGGCTCCAGATATCGTGTCAAGTTGCAAGTGTACCACTGGACCAAAGCGAATCTCATGAGGTTTCCACGGTAACGCGTGTGCGTCAGCTTTCTTTTCTCCGGTGCGCATTTCTGCCATGGCAGCTCTGATTCTGCAGCTTGAGACGCGCTTTCCGCGCATCGCTGGGGACATTGCCTGCCAGGATACCTATCGTCGTCCTGTGGGGATCCAGATTATCAGCAAGGCCCGGGTTGCCGACGTGGTGAACACGGATCCGAACAGCCTGGACGCTTCGGGATTTGCATCTGCACTTGCAGCCGCAGATGGCAAGGATCAAGTTATTAGCACTTCTTGCGGCTTCATGATTTATTTTCAGGAGGCGTTCTCGAAGCTTACTGACAAGACCTTCATCAGCTCATCTCTGATTGCTCTCCCGGAGTTGCGTTCGCGCTTTCGCGACACGGACATCATGATCATCACCTTTGATGCCCACGTACTGGGCGCGCCCGCATCCCAGTTGCCCAGTGGCACCCTTTTGTTGTTCTCTTTTGGTGGAGGGTGCCCATGAAATCCCCCCATGGCAACCTGAAACCGTTTTGGGATCCCATGTTGAAGTCGGCGCACCACCAATTTTAGAACCTATTTTAGTGGTTGGATTGAATCCGATGTTCACTGAAGATACGTTTTGGATTTTGACCCATGGCAACCTGAGGCATATCGAAGCGCCTTGGCCGGGTTCGATGGGCCTGTGATCGGCCTGGACAAAGGGATGCATCTCCACGAGGTGATTTCCAGGGACCTGCAGCGTTTGGACGTCCAACGAGCGGAGCTGGAGATGCTTGGCTTGCTCTTCTTTGGATGCCCGGGCTGTGAAAAAGCCAGTTTGTGGGGGAGGACTTCCCTTTGAAGTCAGCTACCCCCAAAAAAGAAAGGTGCCCTTTTTCCCGCGGCCACTGTGAATGGCTGAGTCCTTTGTGCGACCGAAGTAACCCTTTGAACCTTTCGAACAAGGACTGTTTCCTTGCCACCGATCCAAAAGCTGAAGTGCTTGGAGGCAAAGACCAACCCAGGATGGATCAGCTCATCACGGCAGCGTTGCAACGCTTTCCCGTCAAGGCGATTCTGCTGGAATGCACAAATCTACCTCCATACAAGCACATCCTCCGCCGACATTTTGCAGGCGAAATCGTGGACTGCTTGACTGTACTGGAGGCTGCATCACCTGGCTTGGTCAAGGACTGCTATCTCTGAGACTTGGCAAAGATCCCTGGTGTGACTTCACGGCGAACTCGGAGCGGGTAGACTCACCTGGTAAGTTTTGGCCATGTGCTACTTGCTGCCGCGATGTTCAGCAGGATGTGCCCAGGAGCCATGGCCTTCGCTATTCTTCGCTTGGTGTGAACTTGATTCATGCGATGGTCTCGCACAGCGCTTGCGACTAGTACAAATCATCCAAGTTGTGGCCTGCTATGGGCACGAATGATTGGAGGAAGAACAAGACGCCATCTCGGAAGAGAGGCTGACCATTCCGTGTAAACGACATGCGTGTCGCTGTACTTTCCAGGACAAGCATGCGTCGCCCATCTCTGAGCAGCCCCAACTTGAGAAGGAAGCCAGATGAAAGGGCACTGTCCGTTGTCCTGACTTACATTGCATCAAGGAAAAGGATCGAGTGAAGACTGGACTTGAGATCAGGTCCTCGCATCTTTGCATCACTCCGTCGTTGAGAGCATCCCACTAAGGAGCCAAAAGCAAGAAGTCAATTCATCGTGCCTTCAGCCATGAGCTAGTCTGTACTTTACGCAACACAGGCGACACCCAACACAAAAGTCTTTCGGCGCTGGATGGATTGGGTTCACGTGGGCTCCTTTGACAAGATGCCGCGAGCCTTTCAAGTGGTTCTTGAAAGCTCAGGTCTCTCTCTCTCTCTCTGGCTCCGGGGCCTTTCTGAATGGAGAATCTAGTGGTTGAGGTCCAGGGCTGCGTTCGCTTTCAACATGGAATGGAACGGGGAGTTTTGCGGGGGAGAGGATGTTTTCGCCTGCCATTGAGCTTCAGCTCCCCCCATGCCCCACTTCCGCGCGGCGCAGAGGCCCCGTACTATCTTGCTGGTCCGCGGTGGCCTCGGTTGGGTCTTGCGGTTGGGGAAACTGGGACACCGAGCTGAGCAACCCTGAGGTTGCTCGCAACCTTCCTCTGATCAGCATGGAACTTGAGGGAACCCCCCGGGTTTCAACATGGTTGTCGTTGGGACACATTTTACATTTTTGCTTAGTGAGGTTTAGTGGTTGAAATCCAACCACTGAACTGCTAAAATTCAATTTTTTGGCTCCCCATCCCACGTCAACCAAGTCAATGTGGCTGCCATCGCTAAGCTCCTGGCCCAGAGAATGGGCTGTCACGAGTGGAGGGCTGGACTGCAGACACGCCTTGGTTGCATGGGCTGGCGAGATCGAACATGGCCAGGGCGGTCAGGTTTTCATGCCCGTCATGGGGCTTTTCTTTTTGTCTGGTCGCGCGGTTTGCTTGATAGCCGGGGTTGAAGCTATCAATTTATCAAGCCGCAAGTCCCACTCGCAGGCTCAACCAATGCCCTTTTAGTGGGCGAAGCGGACCTAAAGTGTCAAGCGGCGCGTGGATACTTCCACCATGCGCTTTGGGATGTGCACAGCACGGTTTCTGCGTCCAGTCTCCTTGGTTCATTGGATTTGAGAGAACCAGGTAGCCAAGTCACGCTAGAGTTCCTTTTGACCTGAGCAGCGTGCTTTGGTTTTGAAAACGAGAGACTGCAAAAAAGGAGGGATGACAGATCGCCATGTTCAGGCACGAGAGACCTTTTGGGGCGAATGGTCCGAAACGCTTGAGCCAGGTGAAGCAGAGTTTGACGTTTCGCCATGTGAAGCGTTCCTGCAACACTGTGCCATGCTGTCCGGTGAGTGAGAGAGTTGGCATGCACTGAATTGTCCAGACATGTTTGCCAGACAATATGAAGCCGCCCGGCATTCCAGCGAAGGCAATGAAGCCACTTTGTTGCCTACTTGGACGGGGGGGCTCTCCGTCACTTTGAGCGGAGAGCAGGCGGCGAAGGTTCCGTGCGCTTGAGGCACGGGAAGGCGGGTGGCCCCAGCCGGCAGTTTGCGCGTTTCGATCAGCGCGTCAACATAGCGCCGCGAGAGCTCGGTTGTGCAGAAGACGCTTTTCGGCGGTCGGATGATCGTCCAGTTTATCAGTTGGCTGCTTTTGAAGGGTTCAGATGATTTAGCTGAGAGCGCAAGCGGTGCGCGTGGTAAAGAGCCCCTTGCTTTTTCGTTTGCTTTGTTTTTGCTTTCTTTCTCTCTGTCTCTCTTTCTCTCTTTCCCTCTATCTCTCCCTCCCTCCCTCTCTCTCTCTCTCTCTCACCTTTGCCAGCTGATTTAGAGATCTTTTTGTTAAAGCAGGTTGTTTTTGGAATAGGAGCCCTACCTCTGCGCCTGGGCCTCGCAATGGCACCAGTTTCCTTGCTTCAGGACCATCTGAGGCCCGACCGCCGTCAGATCCGTGGAAGAAATCCATTCCCAAGGTGTAACAGGATATTTACGACTCGGTCCATTGAGACATCCTCAAAGTTGCCCTCTCAACGGAGTTTTGAAGGGTTTGCCCACCCCCAAAAGGAATGTTTTGAGCACCCCCCCAAACATGTCCACTTTAAGCCCCGCCCCCCCCCCCCCCCCCCAGTGCTTACAGGTATTGCAGATAATCAGGTACTGTTGCCAGGTTTTAGAGGATGTTCTCCCCTGGATACGTACAATGGTACCTGGAAGCACTGGATGTGGATGGGTTCTCGTGTAGGTGCTCTTCGATGGGATCACGCCCCTCATGGAGGTGCCGGCGAGCGACAAGGCCACTTGCCCATGGCCTGTCGTGTTTTTGCTTGGGCGTGCAAACCTTTTTGGTTTTGAGGGGAAGCCAAAAAGGCATTCGCCATTTTGGGGAGCTGCCCTGGCTTGGTTTGCAGCTGTGCGTGAAGAAGCCCTGTGACGATTGCGGCCCCGCTGGAAGAGAGCATCATGCTTCAAGCGGTCACCGTACTCACAGCCGCCCTGGACCAATGTTGGGTGGACTTGGAGGAACTCCTTAGCTGGAGGAATATGCATTTGTGCCCTAGGATAAAGACAGATATATTGTCTCTTTATATATATAAATATATATATATATAGAGAGAGAGAGAGTGAGAGAGAGTGAGAGAGAGAGTTTTTTGAGGGTAGTGATTGCGTTATTTTTTCGTTTTTTTCAGGTACACACCATGTGGACACCCCCCCCCCTCTCCTTCCCCCAAGGGGATGAGGTCAGAGGCTTCAACCACTGAAGCCCAAGCTGACCATTTTGGACCGATATGGACGGCCACTGCTTCCCATGGACTCGCTCACAGCTTTTCACTTTTGACCGGCTGGGGACCGATATGGACGCCAGAGGCGGTCCGCACGCCCTGGCGGTTCTGACGCCGCCAGTGTGCCTGGCAGAAATGGCATCCGCTGTTTTTGCATCCCGCAAGATCTGACGATGGTCCTGAAACGAAAGGGCAAGATATCCAGTCCACCAAGAGGTAAGGTGAACTGGCTGCATCCAAAGCCCGGCTTGTTTAGTGCCACTTCTCGTGATACCAAGGGAATTCTGGTGCTAAACTAGCAATGGTTGGATGAAACGTCAACCATGTTGGCATCGCAGTTTCTGTTTTTAGCAAACAATACACCCACAGCCCTGTCCAATGTTTGGCCATGTGCAGTCTGTGTGCGGCCTTTGATGCTATCTTGGGCACCATGTCCCGCCGAAGGTGGATGGAAGTATGGATGAACAGCTGTCTTCCGGCTTGCGAGGGCTTGTTTGGTGGAAAAGTCTCATTCATCCAGAACCCGCACAATTCCCATGGTGGTCAGGGGTCGCCCAAAGAGGGGACCCCCCAAAAAAGGAACCCTATTAGCCCCTAATAGGCCTTAGGTGCTATTTGCCCCTATGAACGGGGCCGATGCCTCGCGTCGCCGGGCTGCCAATGCCAATGACGGTAAAGAAAAGAGAGGCGGCAACACGCCGGCTCTGAGCGGTCAAAGCTGCCGCGCAGGAGGGAGCTAAAAGCCCGGCTGTGCGCAGGGTGTGGCTGTTGTTCCCCTGACCCTCTCGAAAACAGAATGAACGCCGACAGGGATTGAAAAACATGGAAGATGACAAGGGTCCTGGAAGCCCATGTTCCGTTTAAAGGGAATTTCTGTCAGGTTCCATGTGGGTGAGGAGGTCTCGTTTCACATGTACGGTGAAGCAACTTCATTGGGACATGCAACTTCGATGTTCGGACTCAACACACACACACACACACAATAATTTTGCCCCCAAAGCGAGGAGGAACGTTGAACATAAGTGTGATATTTGCTCAACAGCATGATTCGAGCCCTGTACACGCACCAAAGAAATATCATGCCCAATGGGTGTCAGTAGCTAGTTGCATGTCATGTCTTGGGATGCACTGGTTAAAGAATACATTCCTCGTTCGGACTCTACCAATGACTTGCCGCTGTTTTGGCCGAGGCAAGTCTTTCCGACTGATGACACAGGAGGTGATCCCGGCAAGCCTGTTCCGTTTTGGCCTGGGATCCCGGGGCCTTTCTCGCTTCTTTTGGCTCGAGGGCGCCTTGGCTGGAACATTGCGCGTGTTGAGGGCTGGGAGGAACACGCAGGGCAGGTTCCGGACTCACTGGATGGCCTGTGTGTCATGGCCCCTGTGCAAGGTTGGAACGACCAGCTTCGAATGTAGAGCACACACACACATTGTTTCTTCCTGATTTGACTTGATTTGTGAGTGTGTTGCCAAGATTCTAACACCAATTTGTGTCTAAGGCCAGTGGCTTGCTTTGAGACTCTTCATGCCTCGGTTTCAAAAACCCTGACCCGAGTCCACGACCCAGAGATCGCTCATCCAGCTTTCGCATGGCATCCTCGCGATGTCGGCGAGCGAGGCAGGGGAGCCGAATCCTGTGGGTGACTCTGGGTGAAAATCATAGGACCCGCTGCACCGGGAGCAAACGGGTTCTGCTCGCCAAAGGGCGGTGACCATGTAGCTTGCACCGGATAGCCGATCCACCCCACACAGGCCCCCCTCCCCAGAAGACCGTCCGGTCCCGACAGCCGGGGTTTGCAACTGTTTGCAAGTTGCGGGTTGCAACTATTCTGGGGCCTTTGAAGCTTTAGGGTGGCCCCTTTTGCAACACAAAGTTGGGTGGGCG